TCTTACATCTATAAACTTGCTATGATCTTTCTTTAGCTGCCAGCTCATGCATTCTTTTAGATTGGGGTGGGAAATGTTCAGTCTGCAACATCCATTTATATAGCCTGTGGCTGCATGAATAATGCTACTGTTTAACTTTAATGTGTGGTCTGCCAGGTCCTGTGGCTGCATGAATAATGCTACTGTTTAATGTGTGGTCTGCCAGGATATTTTAAAGCTCTTCGCAGCTTTCAGAAAGAAAAAAAAAAAAAAATCCTGTCTCTGTCACTACATCCTCTCTTTTTGGTTCCTTAGATTTGATATCCTTTCAGCTTGTGATGGAATAGTTAACTCCTATCACTGTCATCATAATACTCCCTATGTAGTAGACTTTAAACCTGTTTTTTCCCTGTCTAAAATTGGAAGTAATCCTTTACTAGCCTTGGTTGCCATCTCTGCAACAAAGTTGTGCCAAGCATGTTCTAAAAACTTAATGAAAATTTATCTCCTGCCACTTAGAGTATGCATCCTTGTAACCATCTCTTCCCACTTTTTCCATCTTTTTTTACCACTCAGTATTACACTGTGACTGATTACATGGGTGGTTATTTTGGTGGGGTATTTTTTTTGCTGAGAAGTTTTCTCTTGAATAAACAGAAATCAAATGATACAGTATAACATCACTTCTTTTTTCTGTGCTTGCCCTTCTTAAACTGTGTTAGTATTCTTCTCCTACCAAGTCTGACATTGATTCAGCTTCTGGTGTCTTGTTTCTTGTCTGCTGTTTTCAGTGTTCTTGGCTGCTTAGCAGACAGCTCAGCAGACTGAAAAGTCATGCCCTCTTACTGCGTTATTCTGTGACCAAATTGCAGTTTCTTGTTCTTCCCTCCCGGTCCCTCAGTTCCTGTGCCTTTCACAGGATGTACCATGTACGTTTTGATTGGTGTATCATTCAAACCTATCTAAAAATATAACAAATTAGTCATATTTCTCTTATAGAAGGTAGGTTGAAGTAAAGCTGTTGCTCATGATCACAGCAACATGCTGTACACAGTGTAGTACTGGATTCCTTTTCAGAATCTGTTCCTGTCTGCCCCTTAGCTGAGAAATGCTGATTAAATCCTATTTGAACATTTGATTCCTGGAACATTGTTCTTGAAACCCCATTTCTTCATTCAGATGACTCCATTTCCCTTGAAAGTCATGTTTCAGGGGGTGGTTGTTGAGCTTGTAGGAACATCTGAGGAATAATTTGTGGTTCTTGCTATATAGTGTCACTGTTTCTGTTGGAGTAGACAAACAATATCCATTCTGGATGCTTTTTCAGATCTATTAGAGGTGATGTGTTAATGGCTTACACTAGAATTACTACCTTCTCCTGCATTGTGAAAGTTGTGGGAGAGGTTATCAAGGAACTAATTTGGTAAGTTCAGACAGGGGGTGAACAGAAACGTTATAGCCAGTTCTGGTGACAACTTTCAGATAAAAATGCAGGTAGAAGAACAATTTACAAGGTTAATGACGTATTTTACCTGTTGTATACTCTGCCAGGGGTTATCTGTAACAGCAGGGAGAGGGGGTAACTCGCGCTGGCTTGTTTAAGTGATTAGTCACCCTGGTGTCTTCTGGCACCATTTGACACAGCTAAGCTGATCTAATGGCTAGCTGCCACAGCAAGGATGGTGTCCTTGTGCTGTATAGCTCCTAGCGTAAGGAAAGGACAGGAATAATCTGTTTGCCATATGGCTAGATATGGGAGCCAAACAGACCTGAAACTGGCACTATCAGGAAACCGATAACTTGTGACAAATTCAGCTTTTCCAGCCAGCTTGTGGAACAATTTTGTATAAATCCAGAAGCAGTGCGAGGGAGGGAATGGAACCACACAGCCAGTGCAAAAGGGATCAGGAGCTGCTGCTACTACGCCGTGCTGCTGCTTGTGCTGCTGTGGTGCCACATCTTTAGACCTGGCCTTTGGAAAGGTAGAGTTGAGTCTGTATTTGCTAACAAGGGAGTGTTGGCTGGGGATGTGAAAAAGGTCTTTTAAATTGCAGCCTAAGCCAGATGTACATGAACAACTCTCCAGTCTTGTTTTCAACTTAGACAAACACGTTATCACAGTGAGTTTTTATTTCTATGTAAACAGAAGACTTAATTGTTTTACGTGATTAAATGACACAAGAGAATAGTATAGAGTGCTTTTGCTTGTGCGACACCTTTCAATAAAGTTTATCAGTATAATTGTCCCAATAAACTTCACCTAATGTATTGCTGTTGGATCAGTTCCGTAGTAAACTTTGGGATAAAAAATATCTTTTGTTTCTGACTGCAACGTTTTAATTCTCTAGCATCTGAACTGTGATATTCAACGTATTACTTGACTTTTTTAAAATAGGAGCATGACTTTGAGTAACCTAAAGTACAGATATGTATATGTGCAGTATCTGAAAAGAAAATGTTTTTTTGAGTAACCAGGTTATTTAATACATGTGAGAATATCACAGAAGTACGTTTCTACTCCCTGCCTCATTTTCTTTTATCCACCATCTGAACTGGCTGAGGGGAGATGGTTATGCTAATAATAGTCAAGCTGAAATGTTGGGTGCTGCTGTAAGAAAACTCTCAGCTTTTAAAGTTGCAGAGTTTCCTAGGCTGATTCTGATTAAAAATCAGCTGGGATGTTGGAATTATTGTGTATACATGTGGTTTCTGTCTTCCTCCAAGTTATTCACCTAACTGGACAGCGGAGTGTATTTTTTTTTTTCCACGTACTGCTGTCAGCTGTTTTTCCCTGCTTTTTAAAGGGCTTTTAAAATTTGATAATTAACTTCATAGTAAATTTAGAAATGTCAGTTATTCAAACAGTTGTTTAATTCCATAAGGATTCTTTGTGTTCTTCAAATGTTTGACAATTAGTAGAGCTACCAGCTCTCAATCTAACCATGAGGAGCAGGGGTGCTGCGGGGAGCTGCAGCGGTGTGATGGTGGTCTGTGGTGGAATTAACTCTTTAAAGGAGATGAGAGAAAACAGTCTGTGGAACCCTATGTATTCCTTTCAAATGCTCCTGGAACCATAGACGAAACTTGAAATGTGGCTGGATACTAGTGCAGAAATACAAAGAGCATAATTTAGCTATAATATAAAATATAATAGGGAAGGTCATGATTTTGTATTGTTGAAATTGGGAAGCACATACGATTGAGGATCTTGTTGTTGGGCCAGCCTGGTATGAATATAGCAGAGAGATACAGCAGTATCTGGTTTGCAGTAAACACTTCTGAGGAACTTTCTGTAGTTCTTTCATGTCACAGTATTTGGAAGCTTTTCAATACGTGTTGACCATATGTGTTACTACGTGTTCCTGTTCTCCATCTGCAGGCGCTTCTTTTTTTTTTCCTCTTCTTTTTATTCTTTTGAAGACCTTGAAATTCTGAGGGGAAAGCTACGGTAGAAAAGCGCCCTGCATGGTGGCAAAGGTATGAGTGGAACTGAAGGTACCTGTTCAGTAGATCTCTGAGGAAGTGGCTTCAATAACACTGCAGAAGTTTCCCTTTCATTTATGAGGAGTATTCAGATGATAGTTCTACCTTAAAGCTCTCTAAATAGACAATTATACTTAGTACCAAGTCCCACTGCAATCTCTGAGTCAGTATCGCTGAATAGTTAATCTGTTAAAAAAAAAAAAAGGCAAGCTGTGATGTTTTTGTAAATAATATTTACTGCCTGAAATAAAGTTAAAGTGTGTCTCATGTTACAGTGAAAGGTGGGAGAATTGAAGGAAGTAAAAAATCATTTGGTCTTAAGTGAATAAGATTGGGGAGTAGAGTGGCAGAAATAAAAATAGATTGATCTTCCACTCTTTAAAGGATCTTTACCTGTAGGAATAAATAAAATGCCGATGCAAAGAAAGAATTTACTCTGTAAAGGGCTGTATGACAAGGCTCTCAACTTCAGGTGTTAAACTGTAAAAAAAATCTTGTAACATTTAAGGTGACTTCTGTTTGTGGTCTATTAAAAGTTGCAGAAAACAACACTGGGGATTTGGATTATTTTTTGCCTTTCAGCTATGACTCGAGGAGAGGGGATGCACATGGAGCATGTCCACTTCCCAAATAACTTTCAGATGAATCTTCAAGAAATAAGCTTTTGTGAGTGAACGCCCCCATGGAAATACACATTCGACCACTTTTTAGTGAACTCTTCTCCCCTGATCCTGCTGTCCTGCTGAGAATCTGCTCTGTCTGTGAGCCTACTACCTTCCAGATCATGAGCTGTAGAAAGCTGAGGTTTGGCTGGAGGCAGTGTCCTAAGTCTTGGTCTAGACCTAAGATAAGGTCCGGCAAATGTGTTCCATAAGGCTGATCTGCCTTTCCTGTGCCAGGGCAATTGTAATCGTCTAGTGCCTTTCCGTCTTCCCACTCCTTGCAAGAGCTGTTCCAGAAGCAACATGAGAAAGGCATACATCGGGCATCTGACCAAGGGAGAGGGAATGCAGTTGACAGGAATGTCAAGGATAGATGATGCTTAGCACAGTTTTGACTCCAGGAGGAGGAGGACTTGCCTGGGAAGTCTGTGATCTATGAACCTGGGTTGTAGCATGTAGTCTTTCTCCTCTGTGGTCCATCAGTGTGACATAGTTTAGGACATCTTAAGCATTATGTTAGTGTAACAGGGGCTTCTGCAAATGAGGCTTCATATGCAGATCTGATTTTTGGATACCTCAGTCACTTTCTGAAGCAGGAGCAGAGATTTTATGTCACGTCTTGTTCATGTAGTACACCTTTGTCATATCAACATCTGAGTATGTTATTGACTTTATGGTGCAAGAATAACCGTAGCACCTCCATGTTGGGCAGATCATCACCTGTGCAGATCAGAGGTGACATGCAGAGACCAAGTGGGATTTCTAGGTCAAGCTGAAGGGCATCTGTTCTTATCCATCCGAAGGGAGTACTCCTTTGCAGGTACTGGATAAGGCTGCAGCAGCTTAATAGTAGCCAGAAAGGATTAGCATTTATTGGAAAAAAAGTTAAGACTGGAACTAGAAAATAAATAGGTAATAAAGTAGAAATATCCTAATGGAATTTAGGGTGTTTATATTTGATTACTTGTATTTGGAGCACAGCAGTGGTTGGATACAACCAAAAGCAGCAAGTTTGCCTTCTGAAAGGTGACAGGAACTGTAAAGCAGACTGTGCCCTGTCCACTTGCGTCGTGCAGGAAAGACGGGTGTGAGCGCGCCCCTGAGAGGGGCTGAGCCTTCAGCTTGAGCCCTTTGCTCGCTCGAGCAGCTGTGTGTGCATAAAGCACATACGATACCTGTACAGAGAGTAAGGCTATAGCATCTGTGTAATAATCCCAAGTAGCTGAAGGTGTTACAAGGTTTTAAATATCATAGAATCATAGAATGGCACAGGCTGGAAGGGCCCTTAGAGATCATCTAATCCAACCTCCCTGTCATGGGCAGGGACGCCTCTCCACTAGATCAGGCTACTCAAGGCTCCGTCCAACCTGGCCTTGAACACCTCCAGGGAAGGGGCATCCACAACTTCTCCAGGCAATTTATTCCAAAGTCTCACCACCCTTATACTGAAATATCCTTTCCAACAGGCGCCTGATGAAGTCATGTAGGACATATGAATTAAATCAGTGCTGCTTATGTTTTGCATGTTTAGTTAGTAACTAGTAAAGCGGTGCGTTATACTTATTTATAGTATAAGGATCTTCTGTAGAAATGAACCTCAGTTCCAGCTGGACAATTGAATCCTTGTTCAGATCCTGCTGGAATCTCCTAGCTATTTGTACAGCCGGTACACAGTGCTCACAGCTATCCCATGCTTCCGAACATTTTTAACTGTAACTTTCTAGTGTCAGTTTGGGAAGCAGTTGCTTCGTGGTGCCTCCTCTGAGCTGGAAGACAACGTAAGGTGAGGTGGCACCTAACCAATCCCATGCATCATAAGTGGGGGAGGATTGTTGAGGTCCAGTTGAAGCTGGGTTTGGAGAGTAGGAGTGTGTGGTGAGTGAGAGGAAGGTTTACAGGCACACCTTCACTGCACTGGTCAAAACAGAGTTCTTAATGTGGCCATCGTTAACAGCCATGCCTGATTAAATCTGGCAGCGTGTCCTGCTTCATAGTTACTGTGCCTGCTATTGTGGCACATCAGATTTGCATAGTTGTTGGTGAGTTGGCAAGACTGCATTGAGCAATGATGTGCTCTAAGAGTGTAATTGTTTTTCAGCTAGAAATAGTTGGCGTTTCTGTAGTTTATCAACTATTTGAGGTGTTCCTATGCTTGTTTCTACCTGTATTATACTTAATTGTGTATAAAGTCACATTGTTAAGGCCACAGACTCAATAGGAAGTACAGATTCAGAATTAGAGGACTAACTTCTGTGGATACATATACTTGTAGTAGTTTCTGGCTACTTGGTGAAGGTTTTGGAGAACCTCTGTTTCAGTCAGCATGGGAAATAGGCTTGGTCTGCAGGTGGTTCAGAACTGTTGGACTACTGTCTTGCAGCAATTGGAATGCATCTAATGAAGGAGGGAGGGGACTAAAATGGGAAGAAGTTAGTTTCGTCCTGTTCTGTAGGCTGACTATTGTAGAGTTTGTAGTGTCATAAATGTTTTGGTCACATTAGTCCAGTAAGGACTCTGATGCTACACACAGGGACTGCAGCCTTTACTTCCTAAAGACCAGAGTTCTTGGATGTCATCTAAATGTTCTGGTTTGAATGCTTAGTGTCTCATCCCCTCCCTGTTTGTGGTTTGTGTATTAAAAAAAAGAACAACAAAACAAAACCAAAAAACCCCCAACAACTCATTCTATCACAGGGTCATTAAATTCATTTTGTACAGACAGTAGCTCTTTGTGCCATTACAGAAATTAGAGGTGATAAGATGTTAGCATGTTCTGGAGTTACGCAAGGGGTTTTGTGCCCCAACTACCCTTTTTAACCTCTTCTGTATGTGCCCTTGACGAGTTAGTACCAGTGCCTCTTTGGGTTCGTCTCCTAAAGGTTGCTTCCCACCAGCACAGTCCAAGTCTGTCTGCCTAGTCTTTTCCCTATCAATGTGCTCACATGGCTTCCTAATCTCTTATCAATTTTTCCTAGCTCCTGCTATTTTTGCTTCTGGTCCTGACCTTTATAGGAACATAAATCCAACAAATTATTTTCTTTTTTTCTTCTGCTGCTTCCTCCCAGTTGGACCCTCTCTTCTGTATTTCTCGGGAATTTCTATTTCAAGTTGCTTGTGTTTCAGTGGGGAAAAGGCTTTTTTTTTTAAAAAAAAAAGAGTAATGAGAGTTGGAGATGAAGGACTTGCTTAGTACGTAGAAGAGGCTGCCTGTGTCCTAGAGTAGCCACTTGCAGGGGAAGTCCAGCTTTGATTCTGTAGAATTGGACTAAAGAAGCTGTGCTTGAGCCACTTTGTGGAAGTGACAAATAATTTGTGCAGTGCTAGATGATTTGATTTTGAGCAAATCTAGCAAATGAAGATTTTGAGTTTTTTAGCTTCCTAATAAGAAGTTCTTCCATAATCAGTAGGTATTTCAAGTTTTTTTCGTTTTTTTTTCTGGTTTTTTTTTTCTTTTTTCCTCCATTCTAGAAAAGTTTTACGTATGATCAAGTTTCTGTGCGTTATTACAGAGTCTAAAAGGTGCATGTCTGATGGAGAGGTTAACCTTGATCAAGTTCTAGGTACCTGCTGTACAGAATGGAGGGCCAAACTGCTTTTTGGGGAGAAAAAAAAAAGTGAACCTACTTGAGCAGATCTGAAGAATATGTGTGTGTGCATCTAAACTCTGATAAACGCAAGGTAAACTGAAGTTAACATGAACTGGATTGCATGTCCTTGCTACAGACATGCCACACTAGAACCGTTCCAGCCAGGTGGATCCTGTTTTTATAAATAAAGTGTTGGATTCGCGGTGCTGTATGTGAAGTAGGCTGAAGAGAATGGAATTGATTACGTAACTTGCCTGCTGCCTCTTTAGAAAATACAAAATTACTACCTGAAGAGTGGACTGGACAGAGATGAGATTGGAGAAATACTAATTTAAGGAGCTAGAGTGAGTCAAGCCTGACACTTCCGAAGTTTCAAACTGCCTTCCTCTGTACTTAACTAGAGTTCAGATGCATATTCCAACAGTTTGCTGTTAGAAAAACAAAATTTTTTAAATATAACTCTTCGGTACAGAAGTCCTTTCTCATCAAGGAAGAACAATGCATTTTGTCTTTGTTCTATTTAATTTGTAAGGAAAGATGAATCTGAAGTGCAAAGTGCAAAACTGTGACTGTCTGTCCAGATCTGAAAGTGTGAATTTGAGTTTTGCTTTAGGGTTGTCCTGATGCAGTGGTGTTCAGTTTATTTGGCATGTTTTTTACTGTTTGTTTGGGTTTTTTTAAGGTTACTTAAATAAAACAACATAATGTTTTTACTTACAGCACTTGAAGAATCGGAAAGTGACATTTACGTGCGATTCATGAGGTCACACAAGTGTTATGACATTGTTCCAACAAGCTCTAAGCTCGTTGTTTTCGACACTACGCTACAAGTGAGTATTCTACTTTCAGTCTGCCTTTGCTTTCCGTTCTTTTTTTTTTTAAATGAGTGTTTCCTGAGTGTTAAATGAAATTTGATCTCTTGAAGAGAAATTCTCCCATAATGCTGTGCTTTGACTGTACAAACCCACATTTTCATCTGTATCTTTCATGTTATACTAGAGGAGGAGCTGGGAGAAGACTTCCTAGCAGAACAAGAGAGGATATAATTTGTTTTGCAGTTGGAATCACTATCTTAAAAATTTTCAGAGGAGCCCAAGCTTATATTGGCTTCTTCATGGCTATCTGAATTTACATAAAGACACTATTTATGTAAAGATCCCTGTGCAATAGCCTAAAGAGTATCCAGGTGTTTTGAGCCTGGGAATGGTAAGACAATTTAGGACTGAGTGGTTTAATTATGCAATTATTACATTCTCCAGAAAATTTTTGTTTTCAGTTTCTCATTTTGCTTTTAATCAGTAAATTATCTGCTAGACTCTTGGCTCTGTCTGAAGAGTTTGTTTGCCAAAAGAAGGCATTAGCTGCCTGCTATAGAAACAGACTAATCTGTTCTTCAGTGTGGTAGAAAGCTGTGGCTTTCTTTTTGTTTCCTGGATTTTGAAATTGCTGGGTTTGGGCTTGCTTTGGGTTTTGTTTGTTTTGGTGTATTTTTCCTTTGAAAAGATGCTCCAATTCTGGCTTAACTAAGCCCATTAAGAAATTTTGGTCTGGAATGTACTACTCAATTAGACTTCAGCTTTCCCCTGTCAGAGGCAACCATCTAATAGACACTTAGTCCCAAAACATTTACAGAACCATCTTGCATATCAGATAATTGTGTGTAATGCTAGATTGAGTGCTGTGATCTAAAAGGTGGAAAGCCTACACTGCACAACGAGGCAAAGGAATAAGGTGGATCAAGAGCATTGCACATGTATTAGTCTGTTTGTACAGTGACCAACAGCATCCTTCTTGAGTTCTGCAGCATGGCTAAAAGTACTGGAGCTTCAGTTACAGCTCAGTACAAAAAAAGCAACTTTAACTTCACACTAGAGTTTTTGGATTATCCAGGCATCTTGCTAGTGAGGGAGTTCGCTTCATCTCTTGATTCTATTTAGACTCTGAGCACAATGAGGCTTCAATGTGTTGCTTCTGATACCTTGGCTGACTCCTCAAAGGTAAGTATCCTATTCGGTATCAGGATTGTGTTAAAACTTGACCGAGGCTGCGGTTAAGATTCTGCTCATGTGCCAAAGCACCTCCTGCTGCTAACTGATCTAACGTAACAGTCATCAGTGTCTCATGACAGATTATTTCCTCCTTTACGCAGAAAGCCAGACTTCTGCTGGAAGCTTTTCATCCTTAAGCACCTTGGTATCAATGGAACAGACCCTTCTTTTTCCCTAGGGGTCTTCCATATACCATACTGTATGCTGGATTTTTGTAGTGAAAAGACATCTGATCTGTGCTTAGAGATGGAAAAAGCCTCTAGTGTTAGAGCTTTCAAGCACACAGACATCAATCCTACAGAGTTTAAATGTTTGTGGTGTTGATTTTCTTTGCATCTTCCAACTCTTGACTCTTTTGATACAGTCTTTCAACTGCCTCTGCTATTGCATTTCACCAGTCACATGGACTCTGATTGTGCAAGCTCTAATGAAGAGTATCTGTTATATTTAGATATAATGCTAATGAATACTTCTCCTTACTCTGTTTTGCTACATTCCTTTTCGGAAATTTCTTTCTTTGTCTCTCAGAAGCTTGCTTCTTTGAAAGGTTGATTATGTTGACTTTTTCACTGTCTCAGAGGGAAAAAGTTCTTGGTTTTCCCTTTCTTCTGCCCAAAAGAAAAAATGACTTTCAACTCTGGACTACAGAATTCAGACTCCTATAACCTGAAAGGTCAAATTTGGGATGGTAGTGCATGCTGTCACTCTTTCAGATCTTCTCAAGGACTATTAGCTTCCTTTATGATTCCAGGGGATATTTATTCTTACACTATGAGATAATCTGTTGGGAGTTTGTACGTGGCACAGAATCATAGAATGGTTGGGGTTGGAAGGGACCTCAAACATCAACCAGTTCCAACCTTCCTGCCATGGACAGGGACACCCTCCACTACACCAGGTTGCTCAAAGCCTCATCCAACCTGGCCTTGAACACTTCCAGAGATGGGGCATCCACAACTTCTCTGGGCAACCTGTTCCAGTGCCTCACCACCCTCAATGTAAAAAATTTCTTCCTTATAAGAACAACCACAACCTGTTGAGTTCTCAGCTGTCAGTATTTACCTGGATCAAAGACTTGAGCTCGGTCACTGTTGCAATTGGAAAGATCTATTTTCTTTATTCCGTGAGCCGGTTAATCTTGGTGCCATTGGGGCAGACCACCCATTCCTTTTGGATTCCCCAGATCTCTTGATGAATTACATAAAATCATGCCAGACACCAGCTTTCATTGTTGGAGCTGTGTTTTCACCAACACTGCACCAAAATCCCTGTCTTATTCATGATCCCTAATGATGGTCATGGATTACAACTGGAGAAGAACAAGGTATGCCTTGGCCTATGATCATGGGATCATATTCTCAGTCTGCTTCTCCAGGTGTTTGAAAGCAGAGGTGGTAGAAGGGGAGTCTTTTTAGTTATTTATTCAGACTCTAGTATATGACAAATGTGAACCATACCTTGAACCTGGATTACTGGTCAGGAGATTTTTTTCTCCAAACTGCATTTTTTTGACTTTGCACCGTTACATTTAATCTCAGTTGCATTATTCTTAATTTATGAAAGTCATAATGTTATTTTAAAGCAGTAGTCCTCTTCCAGTATTGGTGCTGTCTTCCAACTTCACAGGTTTCTCGCTAGTAAATTACAGAGTTATTTAAGAAAACATTGAGCAGGTTGATCTGAATGCTTATCCTGTGCCACACTGCTAGGAGGTCTTCAAAATACTTCTTTCTGTGTTTTCCTAGCACTTTGTATTAATGTTTCGCCTTCATCTTCAAAATCACGTTATATTTCTTCAGCTTGATCAGTCTGGCTGGTGCGCATACATGTCTGGAATATAAAAATAGAATAGCTTTTTTTAAAACAGCTGACTAAGTATGCAGTGGAGAATGTACCTAAAGTGTTCTTTGTGTTTTAATTTTTAATATATACACTACTTCTTTTCCAGTACCTCAGGACTTTGTGTCAGTTCTCATTCTGAAAGCATAGTACATGGCTTTGAAACATGCAGTGCCCATGAATCTTCTCAAAGTGAGAGGATTTTGCAGATACTTGTCTCTCTTGGGTCTGTTTCACTCCTACCTAAATCACTGTTTCTCCTAATTTAAAAAACAAACAAATGAGCCTGGTGCCTTGAAAAAGGCATTTGAATATTTGAATTCAGGTTTTCAGTAGTGCTAGAGCTAAACCAGAATATATAAGGGCTTACTTTTTACCTCTCTTGGTGTAAAGTAGTAGCAATCAGTGGAAGAAGGAGGAAAAACTGGAACTACGTATTTTTCTAATGGCATCCTTTGAAAGACTGCTGTTGGATTTTTGACTACAAGATCCTATCTCCCTCTACTGGTCGGCAATCACAGGATATCAAATGTTTCTACTCTGAAAAATGATCCATGAGATATTGTGGAAAGTATTCTAAAACTGCTGTTAGCCGTGGGAATACTGGAGATGTTAACTTATATAATGTGGCACAGGTCATACCGTTGAAGCAACTTCTGTTCATAAAAGTAAATGTTTAGTCTCGATGTCTTTGAGGGATTTAGTGTAAAGATTTGTATGGAATCTTGTTTTCACCCTGAATAAGACAAGACATGGTAAGGTGTCACTACACTGGAGACAGAAAGGCGGC